CTTAAATCCTCTAGACTCTTATCGTACTGGTATTTGTAGGTATATCAGTCTTCTTTTAAAATGTTCACATTTTTAAATTTTTTTATTTTTCTAAACCAATAGGTGCCACAAAGGACTTTATTAAAACATTTGTGATTGTAAGATTACATCCTGTATCCTTTTTTCTTTCATTTTCAATTTCTACATTTTTCCAATAACACTGTATTATTCAGATAGTGTTCTGACCATGTAGGAAAAAAATCGTTCATACTTCTTTCAGATTGTATAAGTTGTTAATTTTCAAAATTACATTAGGGAAATTCTGTCAGCTTTCAGTTAGCAAACCATTTCTGTATTGCAATTCCCGAAAATGAAATGTCAGTTGCCTGCCCAGGGGCCAGAATGGAATGATGAAATTAGTTCTGCTTTGTTGCATACTACTTAACTTGTGATTTAATTTTTAAACTAACAGGATTTTGTGCCATGTTATTTATTCAAAGGCAGACTGTGTTACAGGCATTTAATCTGTAGCAAATTACTATAAATATTATCTATAAAAATATTTTTTTCTTAGAATCATTAATAAAGAGAATTATGCAAATGTAATTGCTGTTTTTTTGTGCTCATAATGACGGTCATGTGCTCTATGGCACACACAAGACCATAGTTTTCTAAGAACTTTGTGATCCCATTCCTTTGGATGCTGGAAAGGGCATCTAGGTTGTGCATGAAACTTGTATTTCAGTGGATCAGAGAACACATTGAAATCCCAGTCTTTCACTCTAAATGAAGTATCCCATTAATAAACTTGTGTTTAAAAACCCATGGTGAATGCCTCCTCAGATTGTAGTCGAGGAGCTCACTTGAATCAGTCTTCTTTCGTGCAGTACGAAGAGCATCAATATGTCACGACTGAAAATATGTAATTGTTTCTGATGCCAAGAACCATATCTCAGAATGAGTAACATTCCTCCTTGCAATCTTTATCTCACTTTCATCCATAATATCCTCATTGTGCATAAATGTCGATATTTCCCAATGACTTTGCCAAAGTTCCTACTACTCTCCAGATGTTCCAGGATATTTAATTATCAGCAGAACACAAGAGAGGTATATTCTGCTTTCTGGTACTATACATGTCTAGCCATCAGAAGCAACCTTTAAAAAATCCAGCTCATTAACTTTAGCATCGTTTGTTATTAATACTAAATATTTTCAAGAGAATATTAGCCTGAGGAGTTATCTACTGTTCCTTGTAGCTACAGACTGTTGATAGATCTAGATAAACAGAATTATAAATCTATAAAATGAAATATTAACAATAAATCTAACTACAGAAAGCAGGTGTCATTTGTTACTGAACTGGGTAGAGCAATTGTTTCCTCCTTTAATATCTGCTTATCTGTGTATAATCTGCGTGCCTTTCTATACAAAAATAAGACTCAGTGTTGAAAGGATACAGTCTCTCATACAGTATGTGCAATGATATTCTTTCAAAGGGAGCAGGAATGACTGTCACAATGTGGACCACCTGAGATAATTACATATGTGTAGTCCTTAAACTCGGAGACTGTTCTATCAGCCCATTAAGCCCCCCAAACTCCCTTAATTCCTTTCATGTGTTTTATTTTGCTAAGAGAAAAAAAAAAGAAACCGCTTAAAAGGCAAACATTCCCCATGACTGCAAAGTTCAAAGGCAGTGCCTTGTAACTGAGGGATGATTATTTCATTTTTCTTTTACAGCACCTTCCAGTCCTTCTGTTACTAGGCGACGGCGGAAGGCTGGCTGGTGGAAGCAGAGGACAGAACACTGAAGCTCTGTCGCCGCAGCTGCATGTGGCCAAAAAGCTGTCTCTCCACCATCGAATATATACTTCCTTTCTTTGGAAGCAAAACAACGACCTGAAAGGAAGTACGCAGTGTTCCTGTTACAGATGCAGGAGACTCTGCTGAGAGCTTGCATGGCACTCGCACGTCAGCTAGCACAGGCTGAATGCAAAATGACTTGGGTGCAGGATGTACAGAGTCACCTGCAAGGCCAGCTAGCGAGAGCTGAATTTCGTTTTGTCTCTTGACGTACAGTGTTTCTCTGTGCACTGCAATCACTCCACAGAAGAAGCACTTCTGGGTTAGCAGTTGAAGACTTACCCTAGGAATGCCGTTACAGTAGACTAGTGTGGAGATTATTGGTGGTATTTCTGCACTTACAATATATGATTTATGTTTTATTTTTACATTATATTCCACTCTTTTTGACATTTATAGTATAGTATAGTATAGTAGTAACAAAAATACTTATGATTTGCTAATTTATTTTAGCATTTCCAAATCACATAGAACCATTTTACCTGGCAACTCACTGTATCACGCTACTATAAATATTATAAATACTTAATCTTTGTAATTGTAAGACACTTGAGGACAGTTCGCTCACGAAAATCAGGTGCATGGAGAGGAAATTTAATGTTACCATCATTTGCACACAACCGTATAGACTTAGCAGTGGGTAATAGAAGTTGCATTGTAATGAATGCAAATATTAAGTCTAAACTGGTTGATTAAGCTCATAGAAGAATCTTTCAAAAAAGCAAATAGAGAGAGACAATCATATCAAAAGAAAAAGAAAGATGTAAAACTGAAATGGTGTATGTAAAGCGTATCTAGCCAGACAGGTCAAAGATAAACTATCTCCGAACTGTCAGCCTCTGCTACACCCACCTGTCACTCAGGGCTGGTTGCCATGGACACCAAATGACAGGAGACCTGGATCACCTGGAGGCAGTTATCATCTCTCCCACGAGCAGGCTGCTTGGACTCTCCTCAGGGCTATGATATAGTTTGGACTTTGAAGCTCCCTGGTTGCAAGCTTGTTCCCTTTGTGCCGACTCCTGTGTATGGCCCAGATCACCTGACCTAGCCTAATGTTCTGCAGCACTACGTCTCGCCTAATGTTCTGCAGTACAACGTCTCGCCTAATGTTCTGCAGTACAACGTCTCGCCTGTTTTGGATTTACCCTTTCAGACCTTTCCCCGGTGCTTTCACTAGTTTTCACCTCAGTGGCATGACCGCAGCTCTGCGACCGCCATGCAGCTGCCTGGCTGCGTAGCTGCTCGCCTGTGAATCTATGCTTTGCACCTTTGCATTGCTACACCACTATCCCATCTGTGGCTCTGTGCCCCTGTCCGTACACAGCACCGCACTGCGGCCTCTGTCAACACATCAACCTCTCACCCAGCAAATGTTCATGTATATCTTATGACTCCCGATCCGAGCAGCGGGATTGTTTCACAAATACTTACAATTTGCCTTAAGTCTGTGCCTTGTATTAAAATTGTTCCCCTCAACAGTTCACTGCTTCAGGTTGTTCTGGAAGGAGTCAATCAGAGAGCACATTATTTGACTTTAGCACCAAGGACTCTGTTAAACCAACATTTCATGACACAGGTTAGTTCCAAACCATTGACTTGTACTGGGCACGTCACATCCTCCTACACGTAAAGTGTTTAGGAATACTTTGG